TAGATGTAGTAAACTTGCTTAAGCACAAAAAAGTGATTTTTGAAATGCGCAGATTGCCGACGGTATTGCAGACTGGGCGATAGGAGAAGCACTGGCCTACGGCGCGCTACTACGCGATAAAGTGCACATTCGCTTCACAGGGGAAGATGTAGAAAGAGGCACCATGGCACACAGGTACTGTGCTCACAATAATTGTGTGGTGCTGCATGATCCGCCACAACTTGGTTTCAGACGTGTTCCTGTGGTAGGAGTAACTAAATAAAGTACCTATTTGAGTGATTGTTATATTTGTCGGCAGGCATCATGTGTACCACCACCAAGGTGTCGACGGCGCTGTGTACCGCGTGCTCGACTTCCTGTACCCCGACCAGGCTGTTTACTCGCTACACAATAGTTCGCTGTCTGAATATGGTAAATAAAACTTCCGACCTTAGATAAGTACTTACATATCACCAGTAGCTCTCCTGACACGCTTCGTGTTGGTTATTTTATGTACAGGTATCCTGGGATATGAGTGTGGCTACTCGTACTCGAGCCCGTACGTGCTGTCCATCTGGGAGGCTCAGTTCGGAGACTTCGCAGACACGGCACAGCCAATCATAGACACATTCATCACGAACGGGGAGAGCAAGTGGGTCTGTCAGTCCGGGCTGGTGATGCATCTACCACATGGTATCGATGGTGGTGTAAGTACCTTTCTTTAGTCTTTACTTTATTATGACTACTTGATTATAAGACACAATACTTTAAAATATTAATAATGGCAGGGTCCCGAGCACTCTTCTGGGCGCATCGAGAGATATCTGCAGCAATGTGATGATGACGAGGAAGCTATACCCAATCTCGACGACAAAAATATGGCGCGTAAGTATCTACATAATTCTTTTATACTCCTTATGTATGTAAAGTTGCTGCTGCTCCTCTGTCCATGGGCGGCGCTGATCGCTCACCGTCAGGTGATCTGTCTGCTCATTTGCCTCTTATTCCATAAAAAAAAGTATAAGGGGAACAAATCACCATGATTGGCCAACCTATTTGATAGAATTAACTTTTCAGTAAATTGTTATTTCCATAATAACCTTTTGTTCAGTGAAGCAGTTGCGAGCATGCAACTGGATCGTGGCTAACCCGACGACGCCTGCAAACTATTTTCACATGATCCGGCGACAAATTGCGTTGCCGTTCCGCAAGCCACTGGTCACGTTCTCGCCAAAAGTCGGGCTCAAGCATCCCTATTTTCGGTCACCGTTGACGGACTTTTACATTGGAACTTCTTTTAAAAGGTACCTATCAGTTATTTATTTCAGTCGTAAGTCGACATATATTATCACAGAACATTATAAAGAAGATTAGAATGGCCTTGTGGGCGGTACATGCGTGCCGCGATTATGAGCAAATGCCCGAATCTACCAAATTGTCAAAAACCGGCTATCAAACGCAATGTTGTTGTAATAACGCAATGTTGTTATACATACACCCTGAACTGAACACATCTTTAGTCTCTATATGAACTTGTATTGTAAAATAATTAGATATTATAGTTTCGGCCAACCCCCTGCGACAAGGGCGTGAGTTTTTATGTGTTTGACCGAAAGTTACTGAATTTGTCCAATTTTACCTGAAACGTATTTTGTGAAATAAGTACATTTGTATTCACCATGGAATAGAAAAAAACTAGGTATTCACCGTGTAATTTATTCGACAGGGTAATCCCAGAATCCGGACCTGCCAGCAAAAATCCTGAAGGCGTCAAGAAACTAATTTTCTGTACCGGTAATGTCGCCATCAAGATAAACGATGCACGGAAAGAAAAGAAACTAGAAGATAAAATCGCAATATGTCGCGTTGAACAGCTATATCCATTCCCTTACGACTTGGTGCTAAAGGAATTTTGCAAATATGAGAAGGCACAAAAATGTTGGTGCCAAGAGGAACACAAGAACCAAGGAGCTTGGCTCTTCTGTAAAGTTCGCATGGAGAACCTCTTCCAGCAAAAAATTGAGTGAGTAGATAAAGTGCATGGCCAGCTTTTAGGGATTGTGGATTTACAAATGGCACCAGGTGATCGGCAAGGATCCAACGGTTATCAGAAAAATATAAAAAATCCAAGTCATATACTTTTTAAATTACAATGACTTGTGTTATCTACAAAAAAGTACAGCCTGTGCCAGTTTTTATTATACTCTTGTTGCTAATTATTTTTATTTTTTCGTCTGAATTTTTGCTTAAGTTATCCTAAATAGTGCTTCATATTGATTGTATTATAGAATCATAAATTCTGAGCCAACTGCTTTAGTTTGGAAAAGGATATAATTTTTTGATTCTTTGTTTGTTGTTAGTTGACAACCGCAACTGTGTTCAAACAGCAATTTGCAGTTTCATTGCAGTTGAAATGCGATTCGTCGGTTTAGAACCGAACTTCCAATAACGACCGATGATAACTGTTTTCCCCGCAGATGTATTTCCAGACCATCTAGTCCAGCTTCAGCAACTGGTATCAAATGGGTGCACACGAAAGAAATAAAAGAACTAAAAGCAAAAATGGTACAACTTAAATGATGTTGTTAATAACAATAAGTATTGTAATTAAGTATTGAAATTGTCGGTTAATAAAAGATATTTCTACATATAGTAAGTGAAGTATTTTATTTTTATCGACTGCAAACGAGGATGATTTTGTCAACAACAGGTTGAACTGTGTTAGTGTTCCTGCACGTTTCCGCGACGAGTACCCGACTACTCATCGTGTGGCCACGTGTGGTCACACAAAGAAGTGATGACACGCACGGTAAACGTGTCATCGGCAATAATATTTTTTTTTTATATAATATTTTATATAATATTTTTGGCTTGAAATCTCCGCTGCACGTTAATGGAAACGGCACGAGCGGGGTGTAGCAGAGCTGAGCGGATATTCATAATAAGAATATAGTGAGGCGATGCGGTGCGGAAGACAACGAACATTCACGCAGAGCAGAGGACAGTGGGGCGGTGCTTTGTGGAGTACAGCGGGGCGTAACAGTCATATATAGAAGGATATAAAATGTTTGTCTTTTACTTTTTAAACGACAAAATGACGTATGGTCTTTCTGAGAAATTGAGTGTAACTGTATGTGTATCCGTAACCACAAAAATGCGCGATTCCAAAGTATGCTCCGCTCCGCTCCATTCCATTTCATTATGAATAATAATGAGGATTCGGCTATCATCGTGCCGATAGTCGTGTTCGTGTCGGCCAATGGGTTAATCCCTAAAAGCCTCGACATCCATCTTAGGAGGCTGGCGTTAGGTGGATGGATCAAGGGCCTGATACAGAAGGCAGTTCTCCTAGAAACGGCACGTATCGTGAGGAGGTTTCTGTCTCTGCAGCCCTAACCACCGGTAGCTTGGACCATGCTCCCGCTACTGGTCGGCTCCTATTTTTTATATTTTTAAATATTTTTTTTATTTTGTACCTAAGTAGTATTTAAAAATGTAATTTATAGAGAATTTTAAATAAGTAAATATATACCGCTAATATACATATAACCGCTGTGACTGCCTATCTAATTTTTTGGGGCAACTCAACCGAATGTGAGGCCGCATTTAAGTGTCAAAAAAAGTGTATACGAGCAATATGCAAACTAAAGGTAACGGATAGTTGTCAGCCATACTTTCGGAAGCTGAAAATTTTAACTCTGCCATGTCTATATATATTCGAAATTGCTGTTTTTGTTAAAATTAATATGCATATGTTTGATAAGCTTACTAGTACCAGATATAGAGGCAAAATTAGAAGTATTCCTAGTAAGTCTGCCTTAATGAGTAAGACTGTTTTTTGCATGTTATCCAAGATATACAACAAACTGCCATGTTGTATTTCAGAAATTGGGAACCTCAACTTGTTTAAACTGAAATTAAAAGAATTTCTCAATGACAAAGTGTACTATACTGTAAAAGATTATCTTGAGGGGAATCCTTATGGTCAATAATTAATTTAATTTATTTGACATTGCTTGTGTGACATTCTATAATATAATTGACAATTACTTTTTTACATTATATATATAATTTGACATTAATTTTTTGACTTCAGTGGTATGAATAATTTTACTAACTATCTTTGACATTATTGTATTCTAACAACATTACAAATAATTCAATTCAATGGACCTAATTTTATTATGTAATTATTTTTATAACATATCTTTGCATGCCAAGTTAAGGCAAAATATGGAGAAACTATAAACTTTGTTAACACCTATATATTATGTACCCATGTTTGCAAATGATTAAATGAATATGAATATTTAATATTTATAGAAATAATAAATAATAAAAAAAAATGTGTAGATATATAAATATATAAAAAATAAGTAAATATATGGAAATAATAAAAAATAAAAAAAAATGTGCGAGTTCCTTCTACACATCGCAACAACTTTGATTTGCAAGTTCGCGCATCAAAATCTTCCCAAAATCTTCTTTTGTTTCTTTTTCCTGTAGCTGCTAAGCAATAACAGAAGTCAAAGAGTATAATAAGTATAGGGGATACGGATACAGAAGTGCACACCAAAGAGTATAAAATAAGTATAGGGGTTTGCACACTTCTTTTTACGATCCATGTCACGTCACGACCTAGTTTTCAATTTAAAATACGTTTAGAAATCCCCTATACTTATTATACTGCCGATTCGGAGTCGCGGAGAACCGAACGGGTAACCGGGGCTCCGACTCGACGTGCAGGAGAAAGAACGGGGTGGTTTTTAGTCAGTAAGAGTCTGACACTCCCTCCCGCCTCACCCAGGCGGGAGCAGTCATTCGATGATTGACCCCCCTTAAAAAAAAATACTTATTATACTCTTTGGTTCCCCTATACTTATTAATCTTATGACACTTTGGGAAAATGGTCACCCTGGGAGACGCCTTGTTTGTCGCAGAGTTTTTTACGTTGCGAATTCACATCACATTGCATCACAGTTTTATGTGTAAGCCCTGACACATATCTGGTATGGTAATTGAAATCATGGAATAGTAAAACTTTGTATTCCATGGTTGAGATAAAATAATGATGGTACGGCCGCTCCCTCACAGCAATTTTGACCTCTATGGACATTGATTTTGACATTGACAGACGATAATCAAAAGTTCAAATTCAAATTACTGACAGCTGAAGGGTTGACTGTCAAAGTGTCAATAAAAAATATTGAATAAAAACAAGCCAACGTGCACGATAGGCGCAGAATATTTTCTAAATGTACAAAATAGTTACGCAGACTCAGGCAACTGATTTACCTATGTCTTAAAGAAACTCCTCATACAACAATGTCATCGTATTTTGATTTCTTTTGTCAGAACAAAGAAAATGAGAGTAGAGAAAAAAGTACACAAAATGAAGATCGAATCTTAGGCACTTGTTACTCAATGTGTCCTAAAGATGAAGTCAAATTGTAAGTGCATTTGGAGAATTTTGAACTTTCTATAATTATTTTTTTTTAATTTTTCAATCACAAATTTATGTTTTGCAGGCGTGAGGCGGAACGCCTAGTTCATGTATTAGAAGTATGGGGGAGTGAGAGAAGGCTTGTGAAGAGCTACAGTAGATCAGCAGCGGACTCCAATATGGCAGTTCCACATCTGCTGCGGCCGTACTCGGTGCTTACCAACACTGTACAGTATCTGCTGCTTGAGTAAGACTGTCTAAATACTGTATAGTGGCGCACATACACACAAACACATATCTAAACTATACACATTGTGATATTTGCAATGCAACTTAGGTTCTCTTATAGACTCACCTCACTGATGCTCAAATACTGAAAGGCTACTCAATTTTGGGTTGTACTTAAATATTATGTCACCACCACAACCACCTCTGTTATTTTACAAAGAATTTGTAGTGACAGAAGCATACTTACAACTTAATATTAAGTAGTGTTTAAACTGTCAAACACCAAGCGGTCACCGGTGACCGCAACCTATTGTTCTATAATTGTGTCTACAAAACCGGTACTCGACGAGTTAAAACCTAGTATGGGGCAATCCTTACTAATATTATAAATCGGAAAGTGAGTTTGTTTGTTTGTTCCGCTTTCACGCCGTAACTACTAAACCGATTGCTTTGAAATTTTGCAGACGTAAAGTTAGAACTCCGGATTAAATAATAGGGTACTATTTATCCCGGAAAAATTTGATATTCCCGAGGGAAAACAAAAAAATTGGTATAGATGGCGCTAGGTGTATTGGTATATCTCACATAGGCTACTTTTATACTTTTGTGACGCGAGCGAAGCTGCGGGTAAAAACTAGTGTTTAAACTGTCAAACACCAAGCGGTCACCGGTGACCGCAACCTATTGTTCTATAATTGTGTCTACAAAACCGGTACTCGACGAGTTAAGTAAGGGGACATTTAATTAATAAAATTAGTTCTCAACTGATTCTGGCTTTTTGTCTTATTTTATGTTCTTGTCTGTTATTCTAGTGTCACAAGAAGAATGGATGTGCCTGAACCAGTATTATATGACTTTGTGAATGATCGCCTGAGAGCAGTGAGGCAGGACATCACCATCCAGCGACTTATTCCTACTCAATGTGTTTACCTTCTGGAGCCTATGATCAGATTCTATGTTTACTATGGATATGTGTAAGTTGATACATTTGGTACTTTGCTTCTATTTTAGTGGGTGCCAGATAATAAACACATCAACAAAACAATTTAAACTGTATTTTCATAAAGATAGACTTGGAAATATTTTTTTGGTTTAATTAATGTTTTAAATTACATGATTTTGAAATGTGATGTCACGAAACTTAGACCTCCCACCCCTTGTCACACTTTGTCTACCCCCTTTACATGTGACATACTTTAATGACCCCTTATTATTATAAGTTTGAGATTTCCAACTTGCATCGAGCAAGCGTTGCGATTAATGCTCAAACCCTCTCCGTCTGAGAAGAAGCCTACATAACCTATTGATTATTGTTTCACCAAAGGAAGCCAGAATCTTATATAGAAACAATAATATTATTTATAAATTATTGTACCTTTTACCATTATAATGGAAGTTTTAAATGTATTTGTTACATGTTTGTTTTGATAACAGTTTTGTGTTTTCAGATTATCAGGTCATCCTCTAAAGGACTATGACCCAGTCCTGAACAAGAAGTACTTATTAGAATGTTTGAAATGGTACCTCTCATGCTGTGACAGCATTGCCGAGGATCAAGGAAATATAGATGAGCTCTCTGGTTTCTTCTCGGGGCTACAACTTAATATTAGGGAAAGTAAAAGTAAATTAGTAAATGATCAAGTGTTGTTGGAAAGTTTATATATATTATGCAATCTTGATGACTTGCATCCACTGTACAGGTATCTTAAGATGACCAAAGATCTTAAAAGGTAAGTTATCTATGTATATTTCATTAAGTCAGGAATAAAAAAAGTCTATTTTCCAACATGGATATTTTAAAGTTAACAACATATGTGTATGTGGTAATTTATAAATTTATAGGACTTTAGTATGGACTTCTTTTATTATTTCAGACAAGAAAAACTTCAATTATCTTACGAAATTGCAATAGCAAATCTTCAGGGCAACTATGTGAAAGTGTGTAGGCTGTCAGAAAAGCTGTGCCCTCTATTATACTGTGCCTTATCTACTTACTTACCAAAATTGCAAAGGTATGTTTATAAGATTCATAATTTATCAACTTGAGACTGAAATTAAGGTTGATTTGAACCAACATCAAAAAAGGAGGTTCTCTGTTGGTTCTATATATATGTTTGTTGCGCAACTATCTGGCGATTGGCTGCACCGATTTTGATGCGGTTTTCAGAAGTGTTTGTTACACTTAACCGCTTGAATGCCCGTATATCAGACGCAATAGAAACTACATTCGTCTCTCACGTGGATCTACGTTTAGATACACAATGGGTTAAAAGAAGGTTTTAGTATATTAGTTCGTTCGGTTAGTTCTTTTTAAATGTAGATTATAATAATACTGGTGACCCGCCCCGGCTTTGCACGGGTACAATATGCATGTATTATACATAATAAACCTTCCTTAAGAATCACTATCTATTAAAAAAACCGCATCAAAATCCGTTATGTAGTTTTAAAGATCTAAGCATATAATATAGGAGCAGACAGACGGCGGGTAGCGACTTTGTTTCTATGTAGTGATTATTGACATTAATGGCGGACTGTCACAAAAGACGATTTCACAGTTTCATTTCAATCTTTCAACCTATTCCATTCCAATTAAGGATTTGTGACCACAATCACTTAACTTGGGGATTTAGAATTTGCCAGAAGTAATAACATTGCTACATAATATTACAGGCGTGCACTAAATGTGATGTGCCAAGCATATAACAACAAACGCTTGACAGTACCAAGCAGTGCACTTGTGCGTTGGTTATGCTTCAGCACAGAAAGAGATGCAAAAAGTGCATGCTCACATTACGGACTTAAAGTGAACGAAGATGCGATACTATTTGATAGAAGCGAATTTAAAACAGATGCACGTTTGGTAAGTATTATTTAATTTTTTAAGTTTTCAAATTTTCCTTAGCAATATTTTCATTTCGACATATAATTTATATTCACTACTAAGCATAGGCCCTCTCCAATAGCACGCCCTTCTGTTTTCACTATCTTATTATGTAGAGTAGCAAGTACCTTAGTTACTAAAATATTTGCTGTTTGCACGCCACTAAACTATTTTACAACATAGTGCTACTAAACTCCCTTAAACTGTCACACACCAAGCGGTCACCGGTGACCGCAACCTATTGTTCTATAATTGTGTCTACAAAACCGGTACTCGACGAGTTAAACACTTAATGAAAATAGGTTTCCTTAACTTTGAATTTGGAGTGCTTCTTTTTTAATATTTTTTAATTTGTTTTTAGCATATCCCAGTCATGCAGAATATTACGAAGAAGTTTGGATTAAGCCTGATTGATATATTTACATATGAAACAAGTAAATAGCATAAGTGCAAACTGCACTTTAGTTTGATTATTGTAGCCGATGGTAAAATAAAACAATTAATCTTTATAAAGGAATCCTTTATTTGTTTTATTTACATAAGAAAATTCTCCTAATTATGCAATAACTAATTACAATGGACAACAAAATCTATCTAATATCAAATGGTTGCATGGCTCCCAATGTCGCAATTCATTCCATCAGTATGCTGTGTACCTTCCTATCAGATAAATGAGCACGCCTTGTATGGACGTGAAATAATTTCTATATTTTTATTATGATATAATATACATAATATTAATATGTAAAAATAGCCAAAATGTAAGATGAAGTTATATTGTTAAAGAAATGATAACATGTTCAAAATTATTATTTTACATTGTTGACGATATTTATTTGTATATTTCATTGTTTTAGAATAATACGGTATCATTTCTTTGACAATGTAATCAGATTGATGAAGGTGTAATGAAAGTAATAGTTTCGCCTACATCGAGTAATAATAACATCCGAGAACCACACTTCACTTCGCTAACAAATAAATTAATCCTTATATTGAAACAATTTCATTATAATCCGCAATGTTGACCATGCTACACTTTTATTCGTTTTTTTTTACTTATGAGTTACCGATAAACATAATAAATGCTCCATTTTTATTACACTGTTTATTCCTGCAGTGTGCCAATGGACAATTTTGCAACAGAAGTAATATATCACAGATCACATAAATCATTAGAGAAGCCGCATAGTCGATATTGCGGAGTTTAGCAAATAATATTGTATGGTAACTAATCAGTTTGGACGACGCTATCGAGATTGTAGAATAATTTAATTTTAATGAGTACCCAGTACACTATCTAAACACTCACATAATGAACCAACATATTTTAGCGAACGTGATTACAAAGCACGTAGGTATAGCGATGACAAACATACAAATAGTAAATACTTCATAAGATATCCTCCATTTATAATTTATCAGAAACAACAACTTTATACAACTCTGTCTATAAACATTTCCTTTGTTGGATTTAAAAGATTTCATTATACATCCATTTGGTAGCACCTGGATGCTTACATAATTATTTCAAGGGAAGGTAAACATTAAAAGAAAATTATAAATCGTCAGGAACCATGTAAAAACTAAAATAAATTCAATATAACAAATTAATGTCATAACAAGTTTTAGACGATCGTCTACGCGTGATTTCATTGCGATACAACACATAAAAACTGATAAATAGTTTAAAACAACAACGAAATCTCTAATTTACAATAGAGGTATCATTTAACTATACATTGACATGAACATGTTTACCTTCCTAGAGGCCAGAGGCTGGTTGAGGCGAACCAATACTTGTCATGTCGGCCTCGGACCCGGGACTGCTCACTCACGCGATAAATACACGCACACTACAGTTCACGGCGGGCCCTTCACACGGACCAGACGCCGCAGTGCGCCGCTGGACCTTGTTGTGCCTTCCACTGGGAATATCAACATTTACTTTGAAATAAATTTTCAAACAGGATATAGAGAAGAGGCACTTTTATAAACGTATACTTTGACTTGCATGCCAACTACTTACAAATAAATGTACCTCAATGGTTGCCGCATTAGTTGTGCTTGAGGAAGGCATCGTCGAATAGTTCGAGCTCGTGGGACAGGTAATTGGCTTTATTGCGCAGCTTCTTGGCGGAGGTGGAGGCAGTGTCCAACATCTTGATAGCTTCCTTCACCTCGCTCAACTCCGTGTCCATTTCTGTCGTCGCCTCATCGATCAGCCGGCACAGCCGCGCAAACATTGTTGATAGTTCCCTGAAGTAAAATTTTAATCAGGTTCATCCTATCATAATGTCATGCTATGCTGTGGGAGTTCTCTCAAGGTCATATTACATCATTATCTTTTCTGAATGGTTTTAAAAAGGTCATTAAGAATGGTATCAGGAAGGTAAGTAAGGCATGGACTGACTGTTGCACTTGGTGGCTGCAGTTGGCGGAGGTGAGGTCGACGATGAGCCGCAGCTTCTTGCTGGCGTGCGCCACGTACTGCTGCTTGAAGACGCGCTGCTGCGCGCGCGCCGTCCACGTCATGCGCTCGTACACGTACAGCGCCGCGTACAGCGCGCCCGTCGCCGCCAGCACGCGCCAGCCCACCGTCTTCAGCAACTGCACCACGACACGTTACTGCGGACTGTACGCGCCAAGTACTATACTACACGCAGTACGCGGTACCTACCAGCCCAGACAGCAGCAGTCCCCCCATGGTGCCCTGCGAGGTGAGCGCGCCCAGCGCGAACTTGGACACGAGTCCCCACTCCTCCGCCGACAGTCCGACGTGACTCGCCAGCGACGACGGACCGTTGCTGCGCGCTACTTCCATTGACGACGGAGCTGAACTTATCGACGGCGGAATCTGAAATATCAGTTAAGTTGAAGAAAATGTTGCAGATAAATATTCCTTACGAATGCTAAATATGCTGACCTGAGTGTACTGTGGGGGGTTCTTGAGTGCGATTTTATTCGAGTTTTTGCCCTGGAACCGCTGTATGAGCGCAGTGATACCATACGAGAAGCGGAAGGATAGGTCCTCAGTGAAGTCTGCGCAGAGGTTGTCACAGTTGAGGCGGTAGAGGACTTCGAACGGTTGCTGGTGAGGGATGATGTATGACGCCGCCGCCGCGCGCTTGTGGATCGGTAGGATGTTGTACATACGTTCTGAAAGAGTATCAAGTCTTAAATTAATACTTGGTTTTTGTCCAAAGCAAAATTGTATTTTACGGTAGATGTTTTGAACCATGAAGTGGTGAGACAATAAGAGATTGGAATAATATCTCATTAAGTATAAATGGTTTATCTAATTGTACACACCAGCCATTTCTTTCTGCGCCTGGTCCATTTCGTTCCCGATGTCTGCGGAGAGTCGCTTCTTGAGCCTGGAGCCGAGCCCGGACTCGACGTGTCGATGCAGCGCGCGCTTGTACTGGTCGAGGTGGGCGCGGTCTGTGCGGAACGGAGTGTCGTACTCGTCCACTAGCGCCGACAGACGACGGATCTCTTGGCTCAACGTCAACGACACCTGCAAAGTTATGCCAACATTTAAAAAAGACGAATTTTTGGAATGTAGAAATGGTACGTCTACTGTTATGGTAAAGAACTACAAAAAATTTTGAGATACTAAAACTGCACTTGAAGTCTTATATTTTGAGATTAATGTTTTTCATTGAATTCCAGCAAACTTTACAAGGTCTATGTATTAGAATTGGTTTGTCGTAATGGTCGTGGTGGTACTACCTTGTGCTCGACGCTCTCGACCATGCGGTTGATCTTGTCCTTCATCTGTCGAGTGATGGTGGTGAGCTGGTCCTCGATGGCGGACAGTTGCTCATGAAGGACGCGTTGCTTCTCTACCTTGGCCGCCTTCTGGTCTGTGGCCGTGTTGTACACCTGGAATTGTCATTGTATTTGTCATTTAAAGCTGTAATATACTATAACATATGTAGGCAGAAGTGCATATTATCCCTTTTACTTCATCTCTCCATGCTATAGTTACAAAATACAGAGAATTTTCGATAAGCTGACAACTAGCTAACTTACCACTTCCAAAGCGGCCATGACTTCAGCGGCGATGTTTTTCCCGCGACGCGAGTGTTGCGCGAACTTGGTGCGCACTGCAGACTTACTGATGCACTCCTCGAACTTGCGCTCAAAGTCCACGAATTCGAAGTAACGGACTTGATGGCCCTCGGCCAGGATTGGTGCTGGAATATCGTAATATTATCATAAGACTATGGCAGTGGAAATCACATAATAGAAGGTACAGCTACCTAGCTACAGCTACCTTGTTATAAAGATTACAATTAATTACAACTTAAAACAAACTAAAAAAAACTGAGTGAGAAACACAAAATAAAATGTACAATGCATATGACTTCTGATGACAGAATGGACGTTGATTATCTATTAAGATGTAGTACTCACAGGAGACGGGTTTCTCCCTCTCTCGCATGCGTGTGAGTAGCGCTTCCTTGGCAGAGATGAAGAAGATCCTCTCCTCGGCCTCCTTGGGCGAGCACACGCGCAGCTCCCGCGACAGGAAGTCCACGCAGCGGTTGGCGTGCTGCGTGCGGACCTACGGACGACACGCTTACACTCTACATACGTATTAACTCAATTTTTATAGGCAATAAACAATCTGCTTAACGCGCGAGTATCTTCTGAATAATTTGACAGTTTAGAGTATTTACTTTTCATTAAATATAAAAAAAATAGTGTATAAAAATGATGTAGAATACTATTATAAAATGCACTCACTTGATCCAAGTACTCGGGTTCAGAAGCGGAGGCGTCCCATCGGTTGTTCAGTATGAATATGTTCGGTTGGGATATTTTTGTTGATACTTTATGGAAGAAGTTTTTCTCCTGTAATTGGAAATATTCAATTTCTTCAATATGGTATTTCTATATTCCTATTAGTGGTTTATGGCCGGCTAGATGGAGAATAATCACTAAAGCCTAAGTTCACTAGCAACACTAGAAGCAACACAAGTTGTTCCCATCTTCATGTGTAGTACTCACAGTGACCATGAGCGTGGACTCTGCATTGGCGACGAGCACGAAGACATCAGCATCGAGGCAGTACTTGTCGATCCACTCGTCCAGGTTGGGCGTGACGTCGACGCCCGGGCTGTCCACGAGCACGACGTCGTCCCGCAGCAGCGCGCAGAGCTCGCGCGGCCAGTACACGTGCACCAGCGAGCACTCCTGCAGCCGGGACGCGCACAGCGCGTGCCCCAACTGGCTCACGGACTGGGGACATACGCATCGGTACATTGCTCTACATCTGCTGCTAATATTGACCCTAAACCATTATAAACTTAAACAAGTCTTTACTTGAAAAAATATTTACATTTTTAAAATAAAATATAACATTACACCGTTTTTCTTGACAGTCTTTATACAAACATTAAGGACTCTATACATATACTTACAATACAAACAATAAGTACAATTCCAAACTCACATGCTACAATTAAGAAAAATACTCGAAATTCTTACTTCAGTACTTATTTAGTT